TCTTCTCTTTATATTTATGCTAGAACTAGTGAAGCATGGGCTGTGAGCTGATAATCCATTTTCTACCATCTCTTTGTTTTTAGATTAAGTCAATGTTCAGCACGCATTGGTAGTGCCATAAGATATGAGACAATAGCTAGGACAACACTGAAAAAAGTTGAAGTCTTAGTCAGTCATGATATTGCGAGCTAGGAAAGTAAATAATTCTGAAGTAGGCATTACTATATAACTTAGTAAACATAGTTAATAATATATAATAATATAACATCATGCCGCAGATCCCATTCTTCCTTAATTTTCTTCCCGTGATTTCCTTTTCTTTGCCGTAAGCTTAGACTCAGAACGTATCATTACACCCTGACCCCTTGTTTTGGAAGCTTGTCCACAAGCTTGAAATCTAGAAGTTCATGAAATGTGGCTAAGCTTTACACTAGGCGTCCTCATCCTGTTGACCATTCTAGTGATTGCGCACCACGATTCAACTAGGTTTTGAGTACTCCTTCAAGTGAGAGAAATGGTAAGCCAACTGATAGCTGATGACAAAGGTTGGTCCCTCTAATTCTTTTAGAAGAGAAACGTTATGGATCCGAGAATATGTGGGAAGCTCAAGTTGGTTTTCCAATGCACTTGAGAATTTTAGAAAGAAGTACCATAATAATGGGGGAGAGCGTGGTGAATGATGTAAAGAGAACTTTTACGTATGCTTTGAGAAAGTATCTATTCAATATGTTAGTTGATTGAATGTTTTCACACTACTGCATGATTGCATATATATCTAATGTATACTTATCTTATATTGTAGATGTTGTGGTGTTAGAAGTCACGCAATAGGTTACATTGTTGGTTCTTTGTAAGATATAAACAATATTCATTTAGACATGACTATTGGTTTAGGTTGTAGTATAAACTCGTAAGTAGCTTGCCTTAAATATTAGTTAATATTAGTGTGTTGCCCACATTGAATAGGTCATAGTTTGAGACGTTCAATTCTATTTGACTTTCGTGAGAAACCAGAGGTCTCAGTGACTACAAGTTCTTTCTCTAAGTGTTAACTCTAAGTGTGATACATTTATGAGACGTTTTTCAGTTACTTTGATTTATGATTTGTGGGTGAGTCATGTTTGATTCAACATGCTTCGTATCTTTGGTAATGACATTATCTGTATGATATCTATTTATTAACATCAGTAAATCATCCAGGTTGATCACATCCCGTTAAAGAACACATATGGTTTATCATATTAAACTAATGACTCAAGGTGGATTTAATCCTCACGGTAAGTTGAGTGGTATATAGTGTTATCAATGGCGGACGATGAGCCATTGTTTTTTACTATGATTAATATGATTGAATCTAATAGAAGTGGATAGGACAGTTGTGCAACATTAGTTCTCTAGTGGGATCTGGATAAACCTGTGATTACTAGCTAGTTGAATTACGTTCGGGGCTAAACATAAGAAGTTGGGTTTATATGGAGCCCAAATCATAACCTATATGTGTAGTCTGGCCCAAGGACCATTGTGGAGCTTTATAAAAGGAGTCTATTTTTCATGAGAACCCTACAAGTTTCAAGAGAGAAACCACCGTAGTTTTAAATGACAAATGACGATGTGAGGTAATTTGCTGTTAGCCTGGCCATGAGGCGAGGCCTCAATTACACAAGACCTCAAAATGTAAAAAAACAAAAATATAGATGGTGCAATTATATATTTAAGTCTAAATGGTAAAAATAACATCAGATGTCCCAAGAAGCAAGAGCACTTATCGGCATATTTATTCAAAAATAACCCTTGACAACTACAATTGGAACCTATAAAACAATATTAGAAATAGGAAATAGAATAAGAAAAAACAAAATAAAATAAAATTAAAAGTAGTGGCAGGAGTAAAAAGAAGCAGAAAAAATAGCTAAAATGAATAAGAAAAAGAATAGAAGCTGAAAAAGGAAGAAAGAAAAGATTGCAGAACCAGAAAAAAAA